GCTCTTAACAGGAAATTCTTAATAAGATCTGGAGATGCCCAAAGAATTAAAAAGACTTTCATCTACAAGCTAGCTGTATCAAAAAGGTTTTGATGAAATGTAATAATGGCAACTAAATACACCCTTCACTGAGAGTCTATCTTGAATGCTGTTTAAAAGCCATTTTGGCTTTACCAAAGGATATATGTGTTAGTCCTGTAAGGCAATCCAGACAAGAAAAACTGTGAGTACTAGCTATATCTTTGTGTAAAGTTACATTGACAGAATCTTGCAAGTCTGGAAGTATTTCTCGCCTGCTTTATTTTTACTCTCCAGAAAACTAAGGAGGTGCTTTCTGCAATGTTTTCCTGGTCCTTTCTGCTTCGGTGGGCTGAGATATTTTTTATATGATGGTTGTGAAGTCTGCAACTTTCTTTTGTCTCCCAAGGACATTCCAACCTACCATTACAAAATAAAAATATCTGGGAAACCTTTTGAAAACATGGTCAAAGTATTCAAACAAGTCATGATCATTTTTGTATTCTCATTCTGATTACTGCTTTTGTGCTGCTAAAAGCAAGTATAATATACAACATTGTATAGATAGTCTTTGACTTAAGATCACAATTGGGACCAGGATTTCAGTTGCTAAGCAAGGCATTGTTAAGCGAGTCACAAGTTAAGTCAGACCTGAGCATTTTATAGCCTCCCAGGCCACATGTGGCTGTTTGGTTGTACAACCCCCATGAGGTCAATCAGAAGTTAGAAATCAAATGTAAATAAATGTACACTATGCATTCAATACAACTATTTTATTTTGAAAGTGACTGCTTTCTTTTTCTATTTACATATGGCATGCATGCATGCCTACGCTATTTCGCAGCCATGTTGGTTCGGCTTCCATAACAGTCCCAGTTCCTTGTGTGGTTACTTGGGAAAATCAATTGTTCAGTCCTGATTTAAGTGAATCACTGCCATGGTTAAACAAATCTAGCTTCCCACATTGACTTTGCTTGTCGGAAGCCAGCTGTGATCAAGCCAGCAAATGGTGATCATGTAACTGGCTCCAGGACACTGCAACCATGATAAATACATGGTGGTTTCGAGGCGCCTGGATTTTAATCACGTGACCGTGGGTAAGACATTTTTCTCAGTGCTGTTGTAGCTTTGAATGGTTGCTAAACAAATGGTGTAATGTGTATACCACTTCATAATAATATTGGGTATACAGAACGTTATTACTGTGGAAATATATATAACACATTGGAATGTCTGAATTCAGTCTTTTTATGAATTAATATACTTTATGGTTTACATTTCTGTAATTTAAAGCTCTGCAGATACTCAGCTCTGCTGTTGGGAATTGTTTATGGAGCAAGAAGATATGGTAAGTGATTAATAAAAATAACCTTTTTATTTATGTTTGGATTGTGAATAGCTGATGTTTGGTTTTGAAAACTACATCAATTAAACTGTACTGTAATATTTTTTGTAATAGATGCATTTACAGCCAGCTGTTCCATCTGGCTTCTTAACAGTTATTCACAAGCATCTTCTAAGAAATCTTAGATCACTTCATGTGAAAAAATGAACGCACAAGCTTGTATATTGATATCAATTTATTGATATCACATTGCTCCTGATTGGAGTCAATTGCTCCTGATTATACTTCCACAATTAAGATTTGTGCAGATATTTATTGGTGCATAAACATTATGAGCATATTCAGTTTTATAAAGCATTTTATAAAAATCACTATTGGTAAAATGGATGGCATATAGATTTAATACACAAATCAATTAAAACATTTTTTAAAATCTTGTTAAAAATCCATTCTGAATTCAGGGCTTATTAATAAGTTAAAAAAATAGTATACTCTCTATACTTACCTTTTTTCTATATTTTGTGAAAATGCATCTTAATAATTTAGTTAAATGTTAGCAATGCTAAAAGCATTGTCGTGATGAAAAGAAGCGTTTAGGCAAGGCAACACTCTATCCACTTTGAAGCTAAAATTATTCCATAGGCCTATGTTAAATGTTTTGTATCTTGAAACTCCACATGCTTTTAATGAATCGAAAGCAAAGAACTGTGAAGGAATGAATTATAATGCATTTATGCTTCCTCTGAATACATATTGTTTTACTTTACAACAGCTTATTTAAAGCCTATTGCTGTGGAGGATAGGAGATTAGAAGCAGAGGAAAAAGCAAAACAGGAGGAATTGAAAAGAATTGCAAAAGCATTGGAAGAAGGTATTTTCTGTAAATTTGTTTGATTTTAACAACAGTCACATGAATAATGAATGAATGAATGATTGTAAGTGGACTATCTCTATGTCAACAGAAGGTTGATGTTTTGGATTTCAATGAAATCCCCCCTTCCCCAGATAACATACATAGATACATACATCCAAACAGAGAGAGGGATCCAATTTGGTCTAATCATGGTTAAGGCACCAGGCTAGAAAGTGGGAGACCAAATTCTAATTCCACCTTAGCCATGAAAACCATCTGGCCAGTTACTCTCTCTCAGCTCAACCTACCTCACAGAGTTGTTGGAGGAGGACGTATATTGGATATCTTTGCCGCCTTGAGTTATTTGTAAAACTAATAAAGGCAGGGGATGAATAAATTATATGCATTTTTAATATGGTAAGATAGAAAGTGCCTTCTGCCTTTCTTTCTATTGAGTAATGATTATAATCTTTTATCCATCTTTGTCTTTCTTAAATCTTCTTTCTTTGAACAGAAAGTCCACATAAAATTTCTGATCTTTCAAAAACCTCTTTCTACTATTTTTTTCTGACCAAACTGGCCAACTTTAACATTTCTTTAAATTCAGTTAACTTTCTAATCTACTGGAAGTGATTCATTGCTTTTCCAAGTTTATGCATACAATACTCTTGTTCCACATGAAAACAGCACTTCCATCATATCCTCCTGGGTGGGGGAAGTGATAAAATATACATCATGATGCAAATATCATAGATTATATACTTGCATCAAATGTTTCCGTGTATGTCATTTTTTTTACTGTGGTTGGCTGTGGAGGTCTGTCATCTCAAGCATCAGTGGAAAGAAACAGTCCTACAGCATCAGAGGTTTCTCCAGGACAGTTGTTGATTTCAATGAATGTCCTTCAAGGGTGCTTGCATCTGATTGTAGATGATTCTGAATATTTATTTTAATTTGGGGGGAAATTATAGTATAAAGCTAGCATATAATTCTTCCATATTTGGAAGAGAATATTATTGTGTTTTTGATCATCTGGCAGCTAAAATATTATCAAGGAGAATTGCCAAAACATCTGACAAGAATATACACTGCTCAAAAGAATAAAGGGAACACTTAAACAACACAATGTAACTCCAAGTCAATCACACTTCTGTGAAATCAAACTGTCCACTTAAGTAGCAACACTGATTGACAATCAATTTCACATGCTGTTGTGCAAATGGAATAGACAACAGGTGGAAAGCAAAGGCAGTTAGCAAGACATCCCCAATAAAGGAGTGGTTCTGCAGGTGGTGACCACAGACCACTTCTCAGTTCCTATGCTTTCCAGCTGATGGTTTGGTCACTTTTGAATGCTGGCGGTGCTTTCACTCTAATGGTAGCATGACAGAGTCTACAACCCACACAAGTGGCTCAGGTAGTGCATCTCATCCAGGATGGCACATCAATGTGAGCTGTGGCAAGAAGGTATGCTGTGTCTGCCAGCGTAGTATCCAGAGCATGGAGGTGCTACCAGGAGACAGGCCAGTACATCAGGAGACATCGAGGAGGCTGTAGGAGGGCAACAACCCAGCATCAGGACCGCTACCTCCGCCTTTGTGCAAGGAGGGACAGGAGGAGCACTGCCAGAGCCCTGCAAAATCATCTCCAGCGGGCCACAAATGTGCATGTGGCTGCTCAAATGGTCAGAAACAGACTCCATGAGGGTGGTATGAGGGCCCGACGTCCACAGGTGTGGGTTGTGCTTACAGCCCAACACTGTGCAGGACGTTTGACGTTTGCCAGAGAACACCAAGATTGGCAAATTTGCCCTGTGCTCTTCACAGATGAAAGCAGGTTCACACTGAGCACATGTGACAGACGTGACAGGGTCTGGAGACACCGTGGAGAACGTTCTGCTGCCTGCAACATCCTCCATCATGACCGGTTTGGCAGTGGGTCAGTAATGGTGTGGGGTGGCATTTCTTTAGGGGGCCGCACAGCCCTCTATGTGCTCGCCAGAGGTAGCCTGACTGCCATTAGGTACCGAGATGAGATCCTCAGACCCCTTGTGAGACCATATGCTGGTGCGGTTGGCCCTGGGTTCCTCCTAATGCAAGACAATGCTAGACCTCATGTGGCTGGAGTGTGTCAGCAGTTCCTGCAAGATGAAGGCATTGATGCTATGGACTGGCCCACTCGTTCCCCAGACCTGAATCCAATTGAGCACATCTGGGACATCATGTCTCGCTCCATCCACCAACACCACATTGCACCACAGACTGTCCAGGAGTTGGGGGATGCTTTAGTCCAGATGTGGGAGGAGATCCCTCAGGAGACCATCCGCCACCTCATCAGGAGCATGCCCAGGCGTTGTAGGGAGGTCATACAGGCACGTGGAGGCCACACACACTACTGAGCCTCATTTTGACTTGTTTTAAGGACATTACATCAAAGTTGGATCAGCCTGTAGTGTTTTTTTCCACTTTAATTTTGAGTGTAACTCCAAATCCAGACCTCCATGAGTTGCTAAATTTTATTTCCATTGATAATTTTTGTGTGAGTTTGTTGTCAGCACATTCAACTATGTAATGAACGAAGTATTTAATAAGAATATTTCATTCAGATCTAGGATGTCTTATTTTTGTGTTCCCTTTATTTTTTTTGAGCAATGTATTTCAGAAAGCTTTCTTCAAAAATTTGTTTAAATTCTGAGTGCATTTAGGATGTAGCTTGCCGCTGTTTTTGCTAAATGGCGTTTTTTTCCTTTTTCAGCTCAAGAATCTATCCTGAAATAAACTTCCTTGGTCCACATCTTTGAAATGTTGAAGTAGATAATTCTAAACATCTAAAATACATTTATTTAAACCAATAAACAGACATTCACAACAATGTTGACTTCCTTAGTATGCATAGTGCTAATTAAAAAAGAAATGACAAAATGAAATACAATGTGCTGATCTGAGTTTATTCTCAAAGTCTTCGTGTTGATGCTGGGACCTTGACTTTTTAATATAATAAAGCATTAACTGTTCAGCCACTGTGCTAGAGAGATAATTAGTCCATTTGTGTACTGACTGGAATTTTATAAATTACACCAACACACACACACACACACACTATAGCGATAGTGATAATGTTAGCACTGATGATGTTACTTAGTTTGGGTAATGAAATGTCTTCAAGAAAACAACCAACCTCAGAGAGCACCAAGGACTCCTTGTTTCAATCCGGAGTTATAAATATTCTCCTTTATTGGTATTATATATTGAGAGAGAGAGAACTTCTATGGCTTATTTGACTTGAAATTTATTAGACCCTGGAGAACTTCTAAAAAGCCAATAGCATAATGTGCAAGGAGGAGGAGTAAGATTACATAATAAAAATAAATGTATTGTTGGAAAAACCTTTGAGCTATTGGCAGACATCAAGTGCTTTTGCCTTGATTTTATGGTGTGTTCTCTTGATTTTCTTTACTTTTCAGTTTTTATCAGACATGGATTGTAAAGACATTATGTCAGAATAAGTAATGTTCTTTATATTTGCATATTTAAGAAAGGTTTTGAAAAATCAAGTGAAGCCTATTAAAATCAAAGTTTTATTCCATTATAAATATTAGAAGTACAGCAGCTCAGATCTTGGGTGAGGGAAGAAGTGCATGTTTTTTAAGAGGTTTAGAAAGGGGTAATTCACTTTCACTGATAACATTTTTTTTCTAAATGTACATATGTTATTTGCAATAAGCAATCCCAATAATTATAAATTAATAATGTTTAATAATTGAAACAATGCAATTATTGAACATATATTTGAAACTTTAGTTTTTTTCTAAATACTCTGTTTTTAAAATAAAAAAACTACAGTACTAGTTATAATCATGAATGAAAGGTAGATGAACTGTGATTGTTAGGGTTAGGATTAACCTGTGAACACAGGTTAAGCTTGGCTGGAAAGGCAATATTCAAATAACTGACATTATCAGAACGCGCATTTGTTAACAAACAAGGCATTTGAAAGATGCTTGGGTAGCTACTAGTCTTCTGTTAGGGAGACTAAAAGATTCTCCACACTGAAGACATGATACTGTAAAAGTTGAAAGCTATATACGTATTGTGAGTGGTTAAAGGAGAAATGTTTTTGTTGTGACTAGATAAAACAGGTCCATTGTGAAGCAAGCTAATGTGATTAAGAATAGAAACATCTGGTCTGATTCAAAAAATATTCCGATTTCTGCTTTTTGTGGCATTCTGTTGAATTAAAATTACAAGCTTTCGCTGACCAACGTGAATTCTTACAATTGGAAAGATCAGATCGCCAATTCATTCTCAATATTGGATGTAGATTTTCTTAACTTTGAATGTGTAGTTTTTGTTTTCCTCAGAAAACTACCTACCAGTAATACCTTGCATTCATTTTCATGTTTCCTTAGTCACAGGACGTATGCTGAGAAAAAACTGAGAATTGCATTTATATTAAAAGTTTTAAGGCAGGTAGATGAATAAATGGAAGGTTTTTAAATGTTTTATTTTAAAAAATAATTTTGTTCAAATTAAATTTGTATACACGCTTGTGAGATTTAACTACAATTATACAATCCGTTACCAAAAACTAGTCTCTAGCGTTGCTATCCTATTTGTACTATGATGGTGCTATCCATTCAATGATGTCTGATTCTTTGTGATTCTATGGACCAGCTTCTCTACACATTTACTGATCTTGTATGGCTTTTTTCATTTCCTTTATACTCTGGCTGGGGGTGACTTTGATAGTATCCACTCACCCTGTTTTTGGCAGCATCATTTCCTCCTGCTGACCATTCCAAGGATAACTTCCTTTTCCAGTGAATTTGATAGGATGAGATGACTGAAATAAGTACCGTAACATAGAATTTTGTGATTGTGCATGGCAGCAATATGTCTGGTGCTGTATGCTCCGGTACTTAAGTTTTTGTCACCTTTGCTGACTGAGGAATCTTCAGGAACTTCTCCAAGACCACAGCTTAAGCAAGTCAATTTTTTTCCTGAATAGTTTTTTCATGGTCCAGCCATAGGTAGCTTTGGAAACACGATAGCGTGGAATAATCTCTTATTTAGTTGCCAGGCTGATGTCCTTGCTCTTCCACATTAAATTCTGGACGGCTCAGTCCCCAACTCTCATGTTTTTACAGAATTTATTTTATTTCACTGGAGTTGGGCAGCCAATAAATACATTTTTTTTTTCAAATCAAGAATGCTTATATGCTCTGCTTTCCCATTATACTCCCGACATGAAAATAAACTGCATTTGCCAATAATTACCAGGTCTTCTGGACAGTTCTAGCATTTATTTGGTCATAAGCAGAAACTGCTCACAACAAATAATTGCTTTGCATCTGAAAGGAAGCTTCACACATTTTGTATGTGTATGGGTGTTTTAACCTGGGATTTACTTCAATACAAGGAAGTATTCTGTAAGAAGTAAAGGCTAATGTCAGACTTTAGACCAGGGCTTTCAAACTTCCGGCTCATGGGCTGGATGTATCATGCACTCGCCACGCCTACCCCCAGTTTAGTGAAGGGGGAAAAAGTCACATGACACTGTCGTGACTACATGAGTTTGACACCTCTGCTTTAGACTCTACATTTGAAGCAAGGACTGCAAGTTAATGCCTTGCAGAAGCAGGATTTGTGGTCAGAGTGGATCTGTTCCCTAGTGATTTGTATGGGGATAGACTTCATCTTTCTCCCTTTGATGGCTGATTGCATCCTGTCTACAGATTAGTCTCTCCTTCGTATATGCTGCTCTGAAATTATTCATTGTAGAGGTTAGTGACGAGAGCACCTTAGGTTCCCCAAAGCTTTGTTGTGAGTCTGCCTAATTTCAAACTACTTCAGCCATGATTGGCCCTTGATTTTATAAAACAGTCTCGAGAAGCAGATTATTTTAGATTTCTAATATAGCTACAAAATACCACAGGAGGCAGAGAGTTAGTTCAGTGACGCAGAATGTTCATAGAGCTCAAACATATATGCATGTCATGTTCCAAAACAACTTTAGAACATACAGCAGAATCTTCAGCTATTTAGGTATCTTTAAGTTTTTCAAGGAGACGTATAAATGCAGAGTTTGCATGAAGCACATTTGAAAATACGTATGTGCTTCTCTAGATCCACATTGCTATGGCTCTTGTTCATCTGTACAAGTGGCAAATCTAGTTCTGATGCTGTATGTGTGAAACAGCCCTTAAGTAATGTTGACCTATTGTAATCTTACAATGTTAAGTGTTGACCTAAATAATGCAACAAGTTGAAGATGAGGTAACAGGTCCTCCGTTGGCCATTGGTGCTGCAAAAAAAAAAAAAAAAGCAATGGTAAGCTGAGCTCTTCAGTGGATGTCAATTTAAGAATTGGCTATGAAGAACCATCTGTCAGGGTTCCAGAAAACCCCAACTCCAATTAAAAACTCTTGAGACAGTCATTTTCCTCAAAGTTTCCTTTTCTTAGAGTAGTTATATTGACACATCTGGGAAAACCCGAATCTGATAAGTTCTGGGTTTTCCTCCAATAAATACAAAATTACAAATCCACTCCCTGTACCCTTCATTCCATCACATGCCCCAATCATCATCCATTCCCTCTACTACTCAGCCAGGTGCAGGAATGACATGACCTTGACTTTAAAGAAGAATGCTATTATGTCTAACCACATATGCTCTATGAAATCCTCCTGATTTCCCATGCTCCAGAATGTGGCAGCGTGGAAGCTTCTGGTGCTAATACGGCTTCCAAATCTGACACCATCTACTTAATGTTTGCATGCCAGGCACAGTTTTAATTGCAGGATCATCATCAGGTGAAAAAGAAGCTACCTGAACCAAGTGGGGAAAGTCAAAATTAGTTGGATTTTGGAATTGCTACAAAGGAAGAATTTTGTTGACAGAAAAGAGATAAGTTTATAAAATTGGTATCGATGAGGATGAATGAAATGGGATGGCTAAACTTTCACAAGTTTTATGTAACAATTTCAATAAAGGATAAAGGATGTCCAATAAAGGACGACCATGTTTCTTTGAAATTTATCCATACTCTATAAGCAACTTGTTTATAAATCGTGAATCATATGTCTTTCATCCATTGAGCAATTTTGGCCATAAATTAGTCTTTCCAATGTAGAAGGAACCTCTATTCTTGCCTTAACCATAGCAAAATAAACAACTCCTCCTGTATGTAGGATACTCTGATATTTTAATAAGTTTTATCAGAATTTGCTTTCTCTCGCACTATTCATATCATGTTACATCAAGCCAGTAGCTGGAAGGAGAAAGAATATTAGAGATCCCAAGTTTCATTTCATTTCTAACCTCCAGGAGCATCTGTTTTTGGGTCCTTCTTCTGTTCTTCCTGCAAGGCGGCCATTTTTGCTTCAGACGCATCAGCCAGAGCTTTCCACTCTTTGCGGTTATTGAGCAGTCTTTCATACATTGGCAGAATTTCAGGGTGGAACTGTGAAAATTCCTACATGAGCAAACAATAGGAAGAAGAATCCCAAATCAAGGGTCTCCAAGTCCTTTGGCAAAGACGAGCCTCCTGCAGTGGTTGTAGCCTTGACCAGTCCCTGTAATATCTCCTTGTTACAGGTAGTTTCAACTTAGGACCACAAGTGAGACCAGAATTTCTGTTGCTAAGCTGTTGTTGGGTGTGTTTGGATCCATTGTATAATCTTTCTTGCCACCGTTGCTAAGTGAAACACTGAGGTTATTAAGTTCGTAACACATTTGTTAAGTGAATCTGATTTCTACATTGCGTTTGCTGGCCAGAAGGTCGCAAACAGGAATCACATGACTCAGTGACACTGCAAACATCATTAACATATCTATGCTGGTTGACGAGAGTCCGAATTTTGATCAGGTGGCTGTGGGGATGCTGTAACAATTTTAAGGGTGAAAAACGGTCATAAGTCTCTTTTTT